AGTAGATAGCGTCACTGCACCACTCTCACCGCCGTCAGAAAGTAGCAAGCAACTGAAGCAAGTGCAATTATGGAGGGTGGAGATTTGGAGTATTTAATCAAAAATAATTGTACTAAACTTCCGCTACAGCAGCAACAACAAATACAATCTGATGACAGGCCAAGGCCCAAACTGGAGCTGTGTACAGCGAGGAAAAAAGGAGCGAATCGGGCGTAAAACGTTAAAGGTCTCCTGATTTAGTTTGTGAATGAATGCCTAGAGTTTCGGCTGGAGAGTGCGTCCGGACCTGTCGGTTAGATAACAGGCGTGTGTAAGTCCTGCATCTGTATCATACAAATGTGTGTAAAATGATACCGGGTGCTGTAATCACTCATCTGGTTACGTTATTACATTGACCACCACACCCCCGACCCAAAAGAAAGGACGTATTATTGGCTTCCCCTAATTTTTTCCCCACGCCACGCTACTACTCGGTTCCCCTCTTTCATACCAAAGAGCCGTTCAAAAGAATTGGCTCGTTCGCGACCGACACATCACTACTTTGCAGTCAATATGTCAAAGTGCCTTGGGCAAGACAGGCTGTGGCTCAGTGGGTAGTGCCCTGATCTTCAAATCAGGGGATAGCAAGTTTGAGTCCCACTGCAGTCAGCATGTCATTGTGTCCCTGGGCAAGACACTTCACCTCAAACTGCTCCTGTGGGGATTGCCCACAGCACTAAATGTATGTAAGTCGCTTTGGATAAAAAGCATCTAACAAGTGACATGTAATGTAAAGACACAGAAAATGCTCCCGTATGTCTAAGATTTTGAACTGTATGCAAGTCACATAAGCTCAATGACATGTCATGTAATTCATATTCAATCATTAATCTAGTGACCATCTTTCAGCAGGAGCCTTAATCTTACCAATATCAGAATCAGAGTACTTTTTTTATCCAAGTGCAAAATTATGTCAGTTGCATAATAATATTTATTTAATCAAGTAAAACTGTGCAGTTAAAATCCTTAGCCCCTGGTCTCACGCAATAGATAAGAAGCTGGTCCCCCCTGCTACCCAGCTTTCCAAAAATCATAGTTCATTTAAAAGCGGAAATGTCTAAGACAAAACTGGTGTGAATATGGAGCAAGCCAAGGGGAGAAGGGGTGAATTAGGCACAGACACCGGGGGTGATTCAGATTCAGAAAGGGAGCATAATATGGTTTAGTGTGTGATTGGAATGAATGGAAGAGGGTAGTGGAGGCCAGGAAGAGACTTTGACAAATGATGACGAATGCCCCGTCCCTCCTCTAGCCCCCCCTCCTCTAATTCTTATCTCCCTCTGCTCTCTCCTACAGACCAACAAGGCCTCGGCTCAGGGGGATTTTCAGGGGGCCAACGCTGCGTCTCGCCAGGCTCTGTGGCTCTCCGTGCTCTCCATCGTTTTCGGAATCATAACGTACATCTGTGCCATCGCTGCGTTGATTTCCTACCTGTCCGGCAAACCCCCTTAAGACCAACTAATTCACAAGAATACACACACAAAAAAAATATGTACACACGTCACAGACACAACGTATCACCTTTATATGTAATATAATCCGTCCTTGTCTGTCAACCATATCTCCAGTCATGTTTTTATCTGCACCGCGCTTGGAGAAAGACTGGTGCTTAGATTGTAATCACTTGTAATTGGATTAGGACATAATTCAGCTCAGAGGACATTCTTCGGACGTAAGAAAAAACCCTTAAACACCACTCCATATAGAATTCTGTAAATGTGAATTTTGTTTCACTCGCCCAAGGACTTAAGTTCTGCCATCCCTTAAATGTGTGCTGTAGTCGTCTTCACGTTAAACATTACTGAATAAAAAAAGACAAAAGTGCCATAAAAAGAACAACAACATTGTAGATATCACTGTCTCAACAACGGAGGATAAATGATGAGAGGCAGAGAGAAAAGTATGGGGACATGCAGCCGTGAGCGAGGGGCGGAGTGCGGCGACGGACACTGCAGATTTACGAGGAGGTCGCAGCAAGGACGAGGCGTCTAAATCCTGACGGAGCTGCTGTGGAGTGAAATCTGGGGACAGTTTTTAAGATCCCAGGAGCGTTTTATACGAGGGTCCAGAAGCTACTATCCAATAGAGTGGTGCAGTGATGATTCCAGGAAAAATAATTAGCATTTCCGCTTCTGGTTCCATTGTCTAGAAGTCCGTTTTTGTATTGTGGTAAGAAACCTGAAAGAAGGTCTGTTGTTAACACAAGCTGAAGAGATGTTCACGTTGTGTTCCAAGGCAATACATCAGTAAATACCCTTCTGGGGAATGTCTGAAGCTGCTATTTTTCATAAAAACAACCGTTGGTAACTAGGGTCTGAATCATAGGGGTCATTTAAACTGGGGAGGCTGGGGACATGTCCTCAACACTTTGCATTAGGATCATTTGTTGCAAATGTTCTGAAAATAGCGTGTTTAAAGAGTTGTACACTTTGGGGTTTATTTGCACAAGAGAGAACATGTACAAACGGGAGGACTGTTCACACTTCTTGGGTACAGTATTCCTGGTAACCCGAGTGGTGCAATTTGGACCAGTGACACGTTTAGTATTAGTAATAATTGAATAGAGCAGCGTAGCATAGTTACTTTACTAGTTGTCAAAAGAAGTATTGTGAGCATGTTTTTATGTATTGTTTACGGGGTGCGCTTATCGCAGTAGTGTTTTCTTTAATCGGAAAAAAGTGTCCCACCACTGTTTCAAACAAAATGACGCCCATGGTCTGAATAAACTACTAAACATAATCACTCCGAACATTAGCCGCCTTTAGCTTAGCGGTGGTGATGCGCAGCCATTCGACCTGCTTTAGTTCATTTATAGGTTAACTTTAGCTTTTTCTTTGATTTACATTTTAAAAATCATAAAGTGGTGATAATATGTGGAGATTATCCTGCTGAACAATAATGTGAAAGTATCATAAACGTGTTTGCGACAAAGATTATTTTTTGCAATGTACTGAAATCCAATGGATAAATCCCATTGCTTTTTGTCGAGGGAGCCCTTCCGAAGACAACTCCCTGGTCTAGCCTACAAAGATACGTCATCACTGCACCACTCAAGGGACCTTCAGGGAACCGCTGCACTTCCTGATTTTCACATTCTTTATCACTTATTGTTTATCTGCAGAAAGGACTGCTTTGTTCAATGCCAATCTTGTGAGTTATCCTTATGTCGAGCACACACTGACAAAACATACAGTGCAGTTATATAAGATAAATATTAATGAGGCAAATGCAAAGTCATGATGTGAACCAGCGGCTCTACACAGAAATAAAGGAGCTGCTTCTGTATACAGTGCTGACAAACTGATGACAGAGGCTGCAGACCTGTGAGAAAAAGTGACAAAAATATGAAAATAAACTCTTAAAGATGATCCTTCTATGAGTTGTTCCATTAATAGAATCAAGCAAGCTGCCACTCCACGCTCTCTAAATATAGACTGCACTCGTTTCTCCAATAAAAAAGACGACTGGAATCCTTCAGGAACTTGCCTCTTGCTGAACTTGAAAATTAAGCTGTGTAAGCAAACAGTATTCAGATGAGGTAAAGGTTAAAATATAAAAAACTTGTCTGGCAAGACACGCCATGAGTCAGAACGATCTCCATTTGGGTCACGACAGAAACATGCACGGCCAGTTTGTAGTTTGTTAACCTGCTGAAAGCTTCCATCACGTCCTTCTTTTGGACTAAAACAAATCTTCGATGAAAGGAAATAACTCTGGCCATATTGGTTTGAGCTTAAATCTGCCATTAAAAAAGCTGTGAACCTAAAATAAATATTTAAAAAAATGACTGGTACAAGTGGATATTTTCTATTTAGATGTATAGTTTTTAATAGTCCCTGGCTGAACTGCAAACCCAGTGTTGTATCAAGACTGAGCTGATGATATATTATGGGTCCTGTATGTGGACACTCCTGTGGTGTCAGTGTCTAACCCTGTCCACACAGTGAAGTCAACTCTGACAATCCTCCGTCTCCACTGGACGTAAGAAAGAACGAAGGACCCTACTGATTTATGTATGAGAATGTTGACTGTCATGAGACGGGTTCCAGTCAGATTCGTATCACATGTATAGATAAAGGTCAAAGGTTGTGAAAAATGAGCTGTATTAATACAAGAGTTCTTGTATAACATGTAAATATTTAACTGAAAGAAAACGTAATGAATCCCAATAAATGCACTTGTTTGACATTCATCTTTGCTTTATTCTTTTGCCCTGACTTCTACATAGGGAGATCTCACAAAATATCCAAACTCACAAAATCAAGAATATTTTATTTTATAACATCAGCATTTATATTTATTTTAAAAAGGAAAAATGGAGCTGCTGCTACATCAGAGGTGTTTGGAGTAGCGCCTCCTGACGGAGTCTCTGTAGAACTGGAAGATGTTCTCTGAGGCTTTCTGGCTGACTGCTATACACTGCTGCAGCTGCAGGAGAAGAAACACACATGAATGAGTTAATCAGGTCCAAAAAACCTCTCGTCTTCATCAGACCTGGAGCAGGTCACGAACAGTGCTGGCACAATAATCTGTCCAACAGATGTGGCAATGACACAGACTTCAATTTGACAATGTTCCACATTAATGTACTGACCTCATGAACTGAAAATGATCCCTTGGTGTATGACATCATCACTCTTTGTTCCTTGCTGTCAATAGCAAAAGTCATAAAAGCTCGACTTTCCTGTTGAGAGAGAGGAAACAGACAAGATCAAATTAACAAATTCAGCGAGGATTGTGACAGAAGTCACTTTTTGAGAAGACATGCAAATGTTGGTCTTACAACATTTTTCTTAACAAGAGACAAATCCAGTGACATTTCACCAATCTGTCAGGTCCACCGTGCTCCACAAGTTATTTTGTTATGATGCATTAAAGGGAAATTCTGTTTGTTGATGTTGGTGCATCTACCATTCCCTCAATAAGCCTGTTTTTTGTTACACTTCTAAATGTTCACAAGAGTCTAGCAAACCATGAGTTATAAAAAATTGAGTGCAATCAATAGTGTTATTAAGACATAAATGGACTTGAGTAGTCTGGCCTGTAAAAACTACAAGTGTACAATACATTTGTTTGTCGTAGGGATTCAGCAATGTTTCTCAGTGTTTTCTAGTTATTTTAAGACAGGGAACACATCAATCTTTATTAAAAAATATGAACTGTTTCTGTTGTTCAGCCCTTCATCACCAAAGCCTCTTTGGTCTGCTATACAGTCGCCAACTGACATGATTCTCGTTGTCCATTATAATCTGTTATTACCCGTCTTTTATCGATGGCATTACATTTTCGTTTATGCATTTATAAATGCATGGGAAATAAAGATGAACAGACCGTGTACTCACTTTCCATGTTAACACACGAAGCAGATTCGTTTTTTTACCACTGCAGTGACAACTCAAGACATTAAGCACTCCGGCTAATCTGTCTCAACTGTTTAAATACAGTTTAACAAGTTACGTTTTCGTGTATTTGACGCATTGTTATGCCGACACCTTTCAGACTGAACCAGCAGCCCCCCTTCAGACAAAGTTTAGAAGTTGATCAGAAGTCGAAAATACTTTTTTAAACGTTGGATTTCATTTGCTGATCGTACAAAACACTGGCTGGACGGTTAATAAATCCTGCAGAGGAGAGAAGGCCTACTGTATATTACTCTAAAAGTTACGGTACACTGCCTTCTAGGGGTCGACCGATAACCGCATTGACCGATTATCGGTATCAGCCTTTTTTTTTTTATCAAATTGCCGATAAAACTTAGGCTCTGATGCGGCCGTTTCTCTGGCTGCAGTCACCACTCTGTGAACAGTGTACACAAGCAATGTCCCGCCCACAGCGCTATCTGATAGGCTATTACTGAAGTGTCAATCAACGCCAGACAGGCGGGACCTTCTCAGATTATAGGCAGGTGCGAAAGAACGCAGACACAGACTGAAGCAAGCAGCAGCGCTGAGCGGCAGAGCCATACATGTTTCGAAGGTAAATCAGTTGAAAGCCGAAGTTC